AATTGTCCCAGAGCCCGATCTTTCGCGAGAATGCCAACGGTACTAAAAGCCTTACAATCTACGCTCAGTGGGATTCCAGCTTGCACAACTCACTACTGCTTGATCGAGTGACACAGGATAAGTATCGAGTTCAAATGACAATCTCATGGGAGATCAGCTCTGAGAAGCTGGCTGAGCCTATGAAGTTCTCGCAAAAGGTTTGCGTCCAGATTCTGTCAAGAACTTTCGTGCGGCAGACCTCAATGTTCTCGGCACTCTGGCAGAACGTTCGCTTCGTGCGCTCATCGACTGGCATCTTCACTCTTGCCATGCGTCCTGCTCCCGTGAAGAAAGTCGGCGACCTGTGGAGGCTAAATAGCCAGCATGACTACGTCAAAGGCGAGGAAGACCTAACAAGCTGGACACCTCGAGGGGTGTCGCTGGTCAGCGATTTTCTCACGGCTCGTAAGAAGAAAAGACGCGCCGCAGATATGTCAGTCACGGAGTCTGTCTTAGCTAAACTTGGTTTGGACGGAGCAAATACCTTGCCTGAGAAAAAAGAACCCGAGCCTGAACCTTCCCCGGAGCTAAAGCCAATCATTCCAAGCGACGATGACCTGCTTAATGATACACCAGAAACTTCACAGACTCCTTCTCTCGATGACGAGGAGCAACCTCCTGCAGACGAATCTCAACCACAACTCTCCAAGGAAGCACAGCAACCTGAGACGGATTTCTCTAACCCAGAGCAGCCTGAAATAAGAGAGTCCCACGTCGATGAACAGGGCAAGCCTGTCAAAGAAGAGCTAGAGAATGAATATACAGAAGAAGCCACATCGGAGACACCAGAAGCTACGGAAGTCGAGGAAGAAGAAACAATTACTGTGGAAGAGCCACTGCTCAAACCCGAGTATGATGAAGACCAGACCTATCTTTTGACAAAATGCCTGAAGTTATGGAAGAAGTATCCTGATCCATCTAACAATATCCTCAGCCCGACCAACATGGCACCTCCAACAGACGGTCTGATGACAGACGGCCCAGCGCAGCCGACACTTATCGCAACAGTTATCCGAGTACCAAAGAACCCCAAAGTCCTAAAAGGCGGATACCTGATGATTCCGAACAGCGACTCAACTCGTTGGGTCAAAAGATTCGTCGAGCTGCGGCGACCGTACCTTCATTTGCACTCTGCAACTGACGGTGACGAGGTTGGGCTCATAAGTTTGAGGAACTCTCGTATAGACAGTCAGCCTGGGGTATTGGGCCTGCTTCAGGGCCCTGATGATTCTGGAGTGCGAGGTCAGGATGGGGGAACTGATTTCACACCAGGACATCGACGAACTGCTTCGGGCCGTGTTATCTCTACTATATGGACAGGCAGTGGACCTGGTGCCTCATCAGGAGGGCCAGGCCTTCAGCGACTACCAGAGCGGATGCAGTCCGCAGTGTTTGCCATTTATGGGACAGACAACACTTGGCTATTCGCAGCACGGAGCGAGCGTGACAAGATGGACTGGATCTTCCGAATCGATCAAACATACATGTCAAGCAATGACAGCGCCCCCGGAAGTGGGATAGCCAGCCCCTACCCCGGAAGCGATTTCTAGAGCAGGGTGAGCCTGCTTGTAATGAGAGTAATGACTTGCAACGTCCTCTTGGGGAAACGATTTTCTTTGTAACTATTTGATGGTGAATTAGATGAGATGACTTATACCCCCACAGGAGTAGGAGGGCAATCATGTAGATTTGCTTTAAGATTTTGGATACATCTTAGATAAAAGAATCAATTGAGAATCATGGGCGAATCCAAGTGCAATGGCCTATGCCGAGCATGCGACGTTCTGTTATACATACCTGTGTTGTTATCCCTTATCGGCGATTGTGAGGTTACCTATGCTAAGTCAAATACCCAGGAGCTTCAATGGTTCTAAAGCTAGGGAGACCAATGCTGTGAATTAGAGGCTCTATTATGCTCATGCCGTGAAAAAGTCGACATGAAGATCATCAGAGCCAAGGGCAGCTACTAAAGTTCACCTCATATAGATATACAAATATATTGGATCTCTCCTTGTCACAGCCAGATGATGATGCCCACCTACAAGGCATGCAACGATGCAACGGTGTTTCGGCAAAGTAACATGCACAGCACCGCAAGTAGTTGAACTTGCCATGCAGCGCGTATTCAAAGCCGTGTAATTAACTACCTACTTAGTGAGGTTACAAGATACGTAAATCTCAGCAAAATAATGGCGATTTACCCTTGACAACGCATGAATGGCTCGAATGTCTTCCATTTTGTGATTCTAGTGCGGGAGCAGGGACGGAACAGATCATCCCATTCCGCTAACCAATAGGACATCTTCCACAGATAGTTAGAAAGTTGGTCTAAGGCCAGGGATGCCCGGGGAAACGGCTTCGGAGACAAGCAAGGAAGAGTTAGGGGGCTGCCCCAAGAATTTCTTGAGAATTCGGTTTCGGAGGTATAACGCTGGGCATGGGAACTTGCACCGAGATTATCACGTTTTGGGTTTAAGTGCTCATGGCGTCTCTGGGGATGGTATTAGAGAACAAGACTAGGTCACTAAAAGAAAACAAAGTTGTTATGCCTACCTTTGTCCCCTGGGCATCGGAAATGAGCCTACGAATTTGTGATTCTATTCCTATTGGTCGTGACGAAGAGATGTGTTTCCGAGATGCGTATAAGTTGAGTATACTATGTAGTGAAGCCTTGAGTAAGGCGCCTGAGTATTAGTAACGGCCAAGGAGCATACATGATGGTTAGCAATATGACAATGTCTAACGATTGGTTCGGCGATGCCCAGAAGATATCCCCATTCATTGTATATTGGTATCCTGTCATGTGCTGGGCCATTGATTGCTCTGATAGCACTCATTGTAACGACGACGACGGTGATACAGGTGTCGGGACAGATTCCGCAACACAGACATGTGCCGGCGCTGGATAAACATTGGAATTCCTCAAAGCTAATGGAGGCTCCTTTTTGGTCGTGAATGCTACTGCGTATATTTTACCTGTCCAGCAAAGTCTTGTTCACCCAGACCAGTGGATCGTCCCTCCACGTGTGGTCTAGCCGTTCTCGCCAAGGTAAACTTTATCAGAAAGGCCCTTGAACTTGGGCTGACTTACCATTTTATCATTTAGGATTCAGGTCATGGATTTTAAGTGGCGCCCTGAGCTACTGTTACTTTTGTATCTCGATTAATGCCAAAGCGCAGGTTGGATAACAGCCTTGATGTCAACGCGTCCCTAATGTTGAAAGCAAATACAGTTGAACCAGGATGAAGGAAGAAGAGGGCAAAGAAAACCGCCGAAGGTGGAAGTGTTCACGGGACAGGGCCTTATTTGGCCCGCTTATTAATAGCAACTCAACTCAAAATGAAAAATGAGAGAAGAGGTTTCTGAAAGGTGAAGGCAGACCCTAGACTCATGGATCCGCAGAAGCATATCTTCCGGGCCCAACGTTGACAAGGACAAGGAGTGTTTGAGAAGCCAGGTATAGCAGAAGTAATTAAACTTTGCGTACGAAGAAATACGTAAAGAGGTGGCGCCTCTGGCGGTAAAACGTCGACTCTGAGTTGCCAAGTTACGCAACAGCATATGCATGCATACTACGGAGTACCATAAGGATGATGCATTGAGTTTGGAAGAGGCTACTGACTTCACGTCAAAAACTGCAGCTAACAAGTTGACGTGAAACACAGGACGGTGCGATGGGCAGCAGTAAAAGGCCTGTGATGACAAATATTTTAGCTACTGGGAGATGTGTGCCCAGGTAACTTTTTCCAAATCATGGCGTTGATTGTGCTCATGGGCTGTCCCTTATTAGTGAGTTTATCACGGGAGGCAGATTGAGTTTCCACCAGTTTCAGAGTTAGAGCTAACTTTAGTTGCATGACTAAAAGAATCGGGGTCAGAGTAGCCCATACTGAAAAGGGATAAAGTATGTCATCTCATGTTAGATCTTGAACTGAGAGTAATGGGCGATGTGTTTTCAATACAGAACGAAACGGAGACTGTTCTATTGACAAGCTCGTTCTGTGACATCTGTACCTTGACATGCCCAAGGGTAAAGTTTACAGATATTTCTGGCCTTTACCATCCTTGTCATAGGCGCCCAGTCTTTTGACAGTGCCTTATGGAGTACCTAGTCCCAGGAGATTTCCATCACAAAGCGAAAATTGAACTTTAGGTCGTACATCCAATATTGGCAGGTCCTGTCGTGACCTGTGATCTCATCGACTTGTCCCCTATTTCATTGATCAAAAGCATGCATTTCTCATCCACTCCCCACGGATCTCAGAATAAATTACTAATTTCCTCCTATTCAACTCTCCCCTGATAACTACCCCCAGAATCACATCCCATCATAACATCATATCATTTCGTATCACGCATACAAGGAAATTTTCTGGCATGTGTCATCTATTTCGTTGATGTGGCTTGAACCTTTGTTGTGGCTCCTTATGAGCCGCAGTCTTCCAAGTCCATAGGCGTCGACCTAGGCTGAGAATCGACCAACTAATAGGTCCTAGAATGAAGCCTGATGAATTGGCCGAACGCTTCCCTCTTCACAATTCGCACAGGACATTCGGTGGACAACGCTACAACAGAAAGCCCTCTCAAGATACACGTCCACCAACATGACGTACACCAACATGAGAACAAGGATCGTGGCCATTCCCAAGCCGTCGGAAAGACGGTTGGTTGCACCTTGTCCGACCCAGGCCACCGGGTTTTATCCCAGCGCCCGGTCGTTAGGCTTGAGCTAGCCTACCCACGTCGTTGGGACCGCCCGAAGCCCCTTGATGAATGAGAGGGATGAGGGACCAGGGTCTCGACGGGAGTTTGTTTTGCGTACCCGAAGCCATTTGCAGGCTCATCAGAGGAACTACCGTGGCCAATGGCATCTCCTTGCAGAACTTGATACAACGCGAATACCGAAAGTACCTTTGTAAGGGTTTAGTAAACGACGCCAGAAGGTCTTTTCCGTCCTGGCTCAGAGCATTGCAATGAGACCAGCCTTGCTTGTTTCCTCACGTTGTCTCCTCACAACGGTTCCAGAATGCCCGGACCCATTTATCGGAATATTACCAGTGAGCTAAGGGATCGTATATGCGCGTTTGTGTCTAGTGGACAGCCACATAATTGCATACCTTTGCCGACATACCTCTTCCTCTTTTCATATCCAGGTACCGGCGCAGGACCTTGGCGAGTAGTTGGTGAATCAGAGGTAGCAAGCTCCCTAATTCATATAGGGTGCGATGGGCTGTATGTATTACAAACACCACTCAGAATTCACCTTTTTGGATCCCAGTTCCCGACTGGATGGGTCGCCTCTTGAACATGTACAGGCGCTCTAGACCGGGGTAGTCACCACACCAAGACAGCACAACATCCAATGCCAATGACACATCAGCAGCAAGCGCTTGTTCCACTTCCACTTGCAGGCAGTTCATTTGTGGTAGGGCTTTGTGGCTTTGCCAAGAAAGCCGAGAGCTAGATACCCGTCCCAAGCTGCTGGGTCCCAAGCTGCTTGACCCCGTCCTCGTCTCTTGTCTCCATCCTCTTGGTCCCCTTTGCTAAGTTAGCTACTCTGTCTGAATCCACTCTTCAGGCCTCGGTCGCACCAGGTGTTTGGGTCGCTTCCCGTTCCCTTTCAACTGGCCCTTGTCCCTTGCTTTATGCATTGCTCTTCTGGGTTTGGCTCCTTTTCTTCTGGTGTTTCTACAGAGCGGGGATTTCATTCAAGCTTCTTGCCCTTCTCCATTTCCATAACTAGCTTCTATTTCCCGACTCTCCTACCTACTCTAGCTCCTGGTCTCTCTTGACGTCGCTGGTACTACATAGCACTTCTTACTGATGCCGCTCCAAGCGTCCCCCTTAGAGAGACGGGTCAGTAGTTAGTGTCGATCGTCTTTTGCTCCCGTCTTCCCCTCATTGTGCTGCACGATCCACGATACCACCAATAACCTCTCTGTCGAATTGTCTCGTGTTGCTATCCGCGATTACCACCCACGCACATATTCGATTCATGTTACCATTGGATTTTGACTCCGCATCGGTATCCATAATTGACTACCAAGTCGTTAATCAGAACGACTTTAGGACTTTTCAACCTTTGGGACAGTCGGCAGCGCGAAGTCTCAGCATTTCTCAGCTCCAAGTCCAAGTCCGAGAAGCGCAGTTACTCGCAGCATCGGGTTGAGTTGCCCTTTCTCTTCATGATTTCAGCTAAGAGCCGCTTCTGTTCTTTTGCCTGATACTCAGTCCTTGTCATACATAACTGTGACTGCCTTATGGCGCCTGCTGTAATGGCAGCGCAGTCACCAAGTCATGGCAATATGCCTGACTCTTCACCTTCAAGTCTTCACCATTTTCAGTTTACTTTTAACTGTTCCGCTTCAAATTCTGGCGGGACCAGTTTCATTGAGCCGGATGTATGTACTTTTTCTTCTGTACCTCCCATTTAGCTCGAGGGCATGCTGACTTTGTGTAGCCTGATGCTCAAGGCATGTAAGTTGTCGAAGCCCATAGTGCACCTTCACCGTGTTAATCCCGCCTAACAAGAACTATCAGAGACTCTGAATCTCTCACAGACAGCGTACAGAATTTCCCAGAAGAATTTGGGCGAACGTATCATGCCTACCGGGCTGGCTGTAAGCTTTGTCTATTCATTCACCAGCATGCACCACTAATGACGCCTTTTAGCATACGCGTTCCCCAACGACCAACTAGAGCGTGAGCGACTTGATTTACAGAATGAAGCATTAGTAAAACTCTTCGGTGAGCGTCTTTACTTTGCACCACTGTCAAGGAGAGCACCGCCTGTGAATATCCTCGATATTGCTACTGGTACTGGTGACTGGGCAATCAAAATGGGCGACTTGTTTCCGGAAACAGAAGTAGTTGCAACCGACCTTTCACCAATACAGCCTCGAAAAGTGCCCCCGAACGTGAACTTTTACGTCGAAGATTCGTATGTCAACATCCAGGCCTCATATGACCCTTTGGAAACTTACTACCTTCTAGCTCTGAGCCTTGGGATTACTCTCAGCCTTTCGATTACATTCATACCCGTGTCACATCTGGCTGCTGGGCTAGCTTCAAGGAGCAGATTGCGGACCAAGCCTTTCAGACACTGAAGCCAGGAGGGTGGTTCGAGTCGCAGGAATACGATGCCGTTATAATGTCTGATGATGAAACCCTTCCACCGGACGGACCTCTTGCAACATGGTTCCGCGAAATCAATAAAGCTTCAGAATTGATGGGCCGGCCCACCAATGTTGCTGCCCATGTTCGTGAGGCATATGTGCAGGCGGGTTTTGTTGACGTTCAAGAGCGAATCTTCAAAATGCCCATGAATGGCTGGCCAAAGGATGAACGCCTAAAGGAACTTGGGCGCATGTGGGAAAGGAATTTCTTGATGGGCCTCAGCGGCTTCTCTTTCACACTGTTCAACCGCGTCTACGAGAGAACTCCTGCGCAGATTGAGGTAAGTATACTGTCAAGGTTTCTCGGACTTATTTGACTCAAAGTCACAGGTGGCACTGGTTGATGTCCGACGAGAGCTGATCGACACGCGGATTCACGCTTATATACCAATACACGTCATCATTGGCAGGAAGCCATTCCCAGGTGAACGGCCTGTCACACGAGTGCCATTTACATGAAGGGCAAACACTGGGGATTGGAATGAACTACAACCACATATTGAACCTGAATAGTTCAGGAAAGGAGCTGGGCAAACGGTTCAGAAGGACTACTTTTAACACCTATAAACCACCTCACGAACGATGCATAGCGACACATGGGGACGACTTTGGCTTTTCATATCCACGATACCCAATAACGTCGATACGATGCACATGACTAGAATAATGTATTGATAGGGGTTTGGGTACAACATCGTACCGACCTGGACTTTTGATAGCCGCCTGTTTTGAAGCCTTGGAGTCTGTAATTAATGGCAATGAGATTGTCAGACGACATAACACGTTTCCAAAAAAAATGCTACTGAGACGACCCGTTTCGTTTCTTATACAAGTGTCTCCTCTTTCACAAATGTCAGGCCCAATCACTGTCCTCAAGCATTTACTCCGATCTTCTCACGAGCCAGTCCAGTTCGCGGGCTTGCTCTTCGCTGAGTAGTTCACGAATTCCTTGTTGAGTGAGGAATGCATGGTCGTGATATTCAAAGCCAGGAACAACCGTCTCTGAGATCAGCAAGCCCCCAGTTTCCTCCCTCTTTGATTCATGGCCGGTATCTGGCTCGTCGGGCAGCAAGTAACTTGCCTTCCAGACATCGCCTTCAACGATCCATTGTATACGCTCGCCTCGTTCAACCGCATTACCGACGATAAAAGACTCGATGCGCCCATCAGGGTGGATGAGTACATAGCGTCCCCTTCCACGATGCAAAGTATGAATCACACGGCTGCGGTTGCGATGGAAGTTCCCCTGACTATGGCGCGGGGTTAGCAGGTAGTAAATGGTGGTAGAGAGACGTCGTATGTCCGCCCTGTAACCTTCACGAGCAGGGCCCGAAAGAGCTAGAGTCTCGTGGGAGAGAGCTTCGGATGGATACGGTGAAGGAATGGTAGTAGGATTTGTATCGGTTTGACGGAAGTAGCCTCCCTCGATATGAGGCTCCAAGGATAGAGCCTGGATGAGGGACTTTGACTGAGAATTTTCAGGTTCAGATGAAGAGGTGAATAAAGGTTTGATGGTGCCCAAGTCAGGCTCGCCGTTGACGAGTTCGCCCATCTTGTGTTTGGTATCAAATAAAGCAGGCAATCGTTTTGAGAATATGATAGAGGATGAGAATTGTTTCTGGGTTGGCAGCAATTGAAAGATAGACTGCTCCTTTTATACCCCTGAATAGAGAGTGAGCAAGGGACTGATAGCGTAGCGATAGAGCTTACACATTTTACTATAAGACGTTGAATGTATGGTTCGCTGCCGTTGCGCCCACACCAATGTGATGGGATGTTTGATAAGAGGGCCTGCAAAACGGGACCCTCTTGGTGTGATGCAGGATTCAAAACTACTCAAAGAAGCTAGTATCATGTTAGCAAACGATGATGGTGTAAGCCAAAGTCTGACCTCCAGGGAATGATTACGAGCTCAGAACTCAGAGTAGGATAAAGAGGTGCAAAATTGGCGTTTGGGAACTAGCAGGGAGTTTGTCCTGAGGTTAGGTTGCTGAGATGATGTCAGAGTTGCTCTGAAGTGAGCTACCCATGGTGAATATGCTCCATCGCGTGGTGGTCAGGCCAAGCCCGTAGTTTCCGGGTCATACGCCTACAATAACAAGCCGTTGATTGCATACGACAAAGGTTTCTGTGTGATAGCAAAGCTTGAATCTGGATGTCAGCTGTTGGGTTTGTGATGGGGAAGCAAATATGTTAGTGTAGTTCGTGATACTATTCGGAAATCCCAAGCAACAGACACCGGCCACTAGATTAGTACCTTATGAATAAGATCTTCTTGGTGCAGATGAACAATGGTGTGTCAGTCGCTAAGTACTAGGTGCCAGTGATGATCAGACTGGTCTGTTATTCATTGGTAATAACTGCAGAGCTATACGCTTGTGCATTCATGAGTGGATGTTGAGCCCAAGGGTCTCTCGAACGGACAGAAAATTAAGGAGGGCTGCAACAGCTGCCACCAAAGAATACCATAAAAGCGGAGTCTTCCACCTCATGGAAAGAAGTACTTTGACTTCTGTTTTCTTTACTTATCTATGAAAATTTATGAAGTTTGAGGATGAAAATGAAGTAAATATTTCATTGCATATTTCTTTCTTAAAAGCGTCGGTGTAGTACATGCTCTCAGGTTATTGACGCAGGAGGTGCCTCAGCGTTTTTAGCCGGGCCGTCTTTAGAGCAAGACCTTCTTAGTTACTAACCAAAATACATTAGTCTAAAGACCCACTAAACTTATCAAATCTATCCTAAACTTAGGATACCTTAGGTCCCCGATAGCGGGAAGGCTGCAGACTGACCATGACGCAAACCATGCTCTGGAGCGTCTTCTCACCTGTGCAGCTGTGCTGGACCAATAACTATCACGAGACAAAGCAACACAAGCCAGCACACAATCGCCAGCTCTGCGGCGCGCTTGCTTCGTGATATTTGCTCGATCTATCCTTATTTTAAATTGAAGAACGAAATCCGGGGTAGCAGCACGACAATTGACCGAATCACGCCGGCCGCTGAATCCGACAATGACTGCCCCTCGTTTGCTTCAAAAGCCGTCACTGAGCATTAACCGTCCTACCATTTTCCTTATTCATCGCACCGCCATATCCTCTATCCCTCGTCGCAGGACCTTTTCGCAATGCCATTATCGTCCCCAACAACATTCCGAACGAGAACTACAAGAGCGCCTACAAGCTGCGCGACCCCTCGTCCCACATCGCGCTGCGCGCAAGTTCACACAAGCGGGCAGCAGCCGTAATTCGCGTCTCACCGTAATAGCAACCGTCCTCGCTGCAATTGGCTTCTACTTCTACAACTCTCAAACCGTTCCGGTTACAGGCCGTCGAAGATTCAACTTCCTCTCTGATTCCATGGTCGCACGCGCGCATTCGAAAGCAGCTGCACAGGTTATCGAGCAGGTCAGAGCGCAAGGTGGCCATTTTCTATCAGAATGGGATCCAAGGACTATCCTGGTCAGGAGGGTAATGAAGAAGCTAATCCCCGTGAGCGGCATGGCGGACCTCAATTGGGAAATATTCGTGATAGCTGATAATAGTACGTTTTGGCGATCATGTGCAGCGAGACTGTGGGTTTGCTGACCTTTGGCCATAGGAACAGCAAACGCCTTCGTCCTCCCTGGGGGTAAAGTGTTTGTGCATAGTGGTATTATCAACGTCTGCCGCAGTGAGGATGCCCTCGCAGCAGTATTAGGGCACGAGATCGCGCATAATACAGCCTCTCACGCAGCAGAGCGCCTCTCTGCTGCATGGGTAGGAAATCTTACAGCCGGAAGTTTGTTCTTCCTCGCTGGAGCTCTGCCCGGTCTTGCACTCTTTGGACTCTGGAATGTCGTGGGAGGATATTACCTGCAAGATCTACTCTTCTACCTTCCCATGGGTCGAAAGCAGGAGAGCGAGGCAGACTACATCGGCCTAATGATGATGGCCGAAGCATGTTACGACCCACGCGCAGCTTTAGGCTTCTGGCAGCGAATGCATGCGCTTCAGCATGCCAGTGGAGAAGAAGCCCCAGAAATGCTGAGCACTCATCCATCCGTAAGTTTAACACATATTGCTGAGAGAATCGGGCGAACTGACGAGACGTAGAACGAAAATCGGATTGTAAAGATCAGTGAATGGCTGCCAAAGGCTCTTGAGAAGCGAGCGGAGAGTGATTGTCGTGGAACAGCAGCGTTCGCGGACCGATTCCGTGACGCGATCAGAAGACGATCTACTACAGTTGTCGTATAATAAGCAGACCAGCATTTATGAGCCAACGAATAAAGGGTATAGAGCGCCAAAGTCACATCAGAGTACAGAGAAGCGGCATGGTACCAAGGACGTTGAGTTATAGTTTAGAAAGCATTTTCTCGGTTTCTGCAAATCATCAGGAAATATATATCAGCAATCTGTTACAGTGTTAGATAGCTCATCCCTTCAAAGTTGGACTCTAATAAGGCCATCTTGAGTAATAGGTGCCGACGGGACGAACTGGGGCTTCAAATCGAGTGCTTCCTTGTGAAAGTTGACAATTGCTTCCCTGTGATAGGTGCAGACTACCCGGCTTAGTAGCTTTCCTAGCGCACTTCCCCAGCTCCCCCGGTCCCCGGGCTTCTGCAATGGGTGAAGGTACTGCTCGTGACCGTGAACCGAGGCAAGCCCCCACCTGCCGACGGCGCCCCGGAAAGAACTCCTTGTTTCTTTTCCAAGCTCATCAACTCAATTTATTCATTTATCACCTACACTTTCATCTACAGCTCATTCTTTCGTCAACTTCTCATTCCCCTTGTAACTCGACTTTTATAACCACCTACCTTACAAAATGTCCGAGACATATACTACCGCTGAGGTTGGAAAGCACAAGGATGAGGCCAACGGTTTCTGGCTCATTGTTGAGAATGACGTTTACGACGTGACCAGTACGACTACCGAACCCAAACTCGCAGAAACAAATGGAAGCTGACAAACACCCGTAGATTTCATCGACGAACATCCCGGTGGTGCCAAGATCCTGAAGCGCTGGTCTGGAAAGAACGCTACCAAGGCCTTCTGGAAGTACCACAACGAGCATGTCCTGGCAAAGTATGGCAAGGACCTCAAGATTGGCGCTGTCGGCGAGAGCGCCAAGCTATAGAAAGATGCCAACTCTGGGACTCGAAGGCGGCAGCGTGCACTTTTTTCTGATTTGATTTAATTTGATTTTGGCATGGCGCATACCACATGTTGGATTAAGCTACACTATATAGGTGGACTTGTATCGAGTTCAAAGATCTTGGTCTAGAAGCAAGTGGCGGATGGTCATACTGGACATACCAGGCCATTAGAGTAAAGAAATATTCATATAGACCGAGAACTTGCATCCGTCGCGTGCCATCATATAAGTCTCCTTTGAGTCCGGAGGCATCTGCATCGGACTAATCCACCTTCCGAAAGGAGTTGGCCGAGATAATTGTAGGAGTCAACACCATGGCAATCATCGTCTATCGTAGAAGGATCTTGCCGCAAGTTGCGGCTTAAGCGGCGAAGACAAGTGGGGAGGCTTACATGAACGGTGTGAGATAGCGGTAAATTGAGTGACTCATGTTGTTCTTCAGTTAAACAACTTCTCGAGGCATTTATAACATTACCATCATCTTGAACTACATTCTGGGCAAGAATGAGCGACTTATACAATCTCGACCTTCAGCGGACCCGTTTATCCCGCCGCCACGGCCCCGAGCCCGGCTCCGCTCCGGCACCTACTCTCCCCGAGTTATCTGCCATCGAGACCGCTGAAGCCAAGCTCCCTCGGCCTGAATCGGAGGACTACCTTCGAGGTGTCTCACAGGAACATGTTGTACGACACATCATACAGGACATTGTTCCCGCGTGTAACGGCCAGGGCAGTTCGTCCCGTTATTACGGGTTTGTCACCGGTGGTACTCTTCCTATTGCTGAGTGGGCAGACAATGTAGTCTCCCGCCTGGACCAGAATGTCCAGGTTCATCTGCCAGCACAGACAATTGCAACTACCTTGGAGGATGCAGCTTTGGAGATGCTCGTTTCGCTACTGAGACTTGGGGATTGGAAAGGACGGACCTTCACAACTGGGGCTACGGGCAGTAATGTACTTGGACTTGCATGTGGACGCGAAGCCATCTTGGAGAAACGCGGGCAGAGTATCGGTGAGGTCGGCTTGCTTGCGGCCTGTCTTTCTGCTGGCGTCAGGGAGCTCCAGATCCTCACGAGTGCAGGTCACAGCTCCTTGTCCAAGGCAGCGAGTGTCGTCGGCTTCGGACGAGGAGCTGTGAAAGAGCTGAGACTCAGCGATAGCGAGCCATGGAGATTGGACCTCCAGGCTTTGGAAAGAGAACTTCAGAAGAAAGACGCCGCAAGTGTTATTGCATTAAGCGCCGGAGAGGTCAACACCGGGCGATATGCTTTAACGGGGGTTGAAGAGATGCGTAAAGTAAGGGAGTTGGCGGACAAGTATGGAGCTTGGATTCATGTCGATGGAGGTAAGAATCCAACCCTTTTGCAGGATGCCGTTCATTCTAACATCTCAGCCTTCGGTATCTTTGCTCGCGCTCTTCCCGAAGAGGACGACTACAACATTCTTCGTGATCGTGTTGGGGGGATCGAGTTAGCGGACAGTATCACCGTTGACGGGCACAAGCTTCTCAATGTAGTGAGTATTTCATATCATTTCAGCCTGACTTTAACTAGTATTGACTTGGGTCGCTAACTTGATTAGCCCTACGACTGCGGCATGTTCCTCACGCGATCACCTACTATCCTTCAATCCGTCTTCACCAACCCCAATGCAGCATACCTCTCTACGGGAGGGGCGTCCACCATTCCCTCGCCCCTGAATATTGGCCTCGAGAACTCACGGCGGTTCCGTGCCCTTCCCGCATATTCTGTTCTCCTCAGTGAAGGTCGACCAGGTATGGCAAATTTGCTGGCCAATATGACCGCTTTATCCCGCCGAGTCGCTGCGTTCCTGAGGGACTCGGGGCACTACGAGCTACTCCCCGACGACGGTGCTGACTTGAATGAGATCTTCATGATTGTTCTTTTCCGTGCTAAGAATTCCACTCTGAACGATAAGCTAGTTCAGAAGATCAATGAGACCCGGCAGATGTATGTGAGTGGCACAAGCTGGAAGGGAGAGAAGGCTGTGCGAATGGCTGTGTCCAACTGGATGGTGGATGTCGCCAGAGACTTCATGGTGGTGACTTCTATCTTGACTCACGTGGCAGAGGGAAAGGTGTTCGACATTAACAACTGTTGAGTCTGTGGGTTATAGGGGCAAGATCGTTTTTGTTTTTTGGAATGGATAGTTAGCCATAAGTCGACTGTGCCATTCGGACTGGTGATCCTGCAGTTGTCAAGACAAAACATCGCGGTATGGAATAGCTTCACTGGAATGAACTATGAGGCAACAAATGGTGGTTCTACTAAAGTATCTTAAGCCTAGGGAGACCCATAGAGTAAAGTAGTTCGTTGCAGTTACACATGAACCATGTCCTTGGGTAATATACCACTAAACCCATTCTTAATGTGTCTGATCTCCATAAACCCTTACCCAAAAAAAAAACTGGCACCAGATACGTCGTCTGTCCTTCCCATGGATGTCGACGGTCTATTATGCCCCCAGTAGCTGCTACCTATCAGCGTAGGCTCAGTCCCTAGCCAATAAGTTAGTGACGCAGTCAATGATAGCCAGCTGCATTAACTTACACATTGCAGATCTCAGTCGACTTGCCATTTTCTAAGGCAAAGAGGTATCAGTTCAGCGAAGCTGGCTTACTGAGTATCCTCATCCAAGGCATTGTTACCATCGTCAACTGAATGACTGATGCGTGGCTGCAATTTGGCGACAGCTCTCTCGATGACAGTCTTGAAAACGTCGGACTCTTGAAGGGCGCCGAGGACTGCCTGTTTGTATAGTTCCGCCCCATTCTGTATAGAAGCATTGATCTTCGCGGGAATCTCAGCGATGGTCTCATTGAGGCGCTCCTCCATAGCATCGATCTTCGCGGAAGTCTCAGCGATGGTTCCAATGAGGGTTCGTATGTCTGCCTCGATCACCGATTGGGGACCAGAGTCAAGGTCCTGGACCGACTCATTGGAAGTGACGTGCTGGCTGTCAATACCCATTTCATCGCCCGAGAGGTTGCCGTGATCACTGAGGCCTGCCCAGCCGGAGTCAGAGTTGTCAGAGTCGTCAGACACAAGAGAACAGCCAGAGTTAAAATACTGGTCAATCTCACGCTGGAAGACTGAGTCATCGACAGAGTGGCTCTTAACACAAAGATATTTTTTCCCTCTGCGCTCAATAAATTCGCTCTGACGCCCATCATCAAGGTCGTAGTTGTCGTCAACCGAGATGTACATGAGGCGGGATTGGTTCCTCTCATAGATATGAATGGCGAGGCGTAGCCACTTGAGGAATTTTTTGGTGCAGAACATCGAAATGATGTCCTTGTCAGGACTTCCCGTAGGTGGCTTTCGAAAAATGGCCAGAGCAACATATGACAAAAGGACAGGTGCAGAGGGGCACGGGATAAGATTCTTGATGTCTTCAGGGAGATCTTGGCCCTTTCCAGCGATGTCTTTAGCCAGTCTGTCGCAAGCTCTGTAGCCGGTGAACTTGGTAAAAGAGTCTGTCCAAATCAGACGATGATTCTTCATGAGAAGCGTGACAATGGCTTCATGACAGTTTGGAAGTTGTCCAGGGGGGTACCAGTCAGTGACACCAATCTTGTCGTAGATTGCCCGGAGTATTTGTTCGTAGAGTGTCTCCAGAGTTTCTTTATCGAGGTCACCCTCGGAGACCTGGCCAGAGACACCAAAGCGGACGTTCTCAAGGTCAAACGGGGGATCCTTGAAGAGATCTCGGACAGAGCCGTCAGACTCGACCTCAATCGGAGCAGCCATCATGAACCGCGTGCGTAGATATACTGACCGGCCGGCGATTGTTAGTCAAGATAACCAAGAAGCAGCGCGCGGCGCTTGCTTACCTTTGCAATAATATCGCTATCAAAGCCGTAAAGTATGATTTCTCAAGTCTACTGGTTGAAGTTACCGTGCATATAGTGTTGTGCTGGTGAAGAGTTCAGGTTGAAGTAGAGGTGCGGGGTATGGATAAATAGTAATAAATCACACTGGTACTCCTGCTGGCTCAGGGGCAAGTAATTATAAACTCTGGTTTTTCATAGCAAATGCATACAAAATAAGGAGTCTCAAAAACATTGCACTCAAGGCTACAGGTGTTGTCCATTAGACCCACTTAACCGCCGCTGACTTCGAGTTCCTTCGCCATAGCCCTTGGATATACTTGGGTGCACTGTTGTAACAATTCCTGCGGAAATTCAAAGACATTCCAGGTTGGATAAGGGGACGGCAGTGCTCAGGTTTGTCTCCCTTGTTTAGCGACTCGAACGATTTCGTAGCATTGATCAAGTAGTTGCGTACGCGACCTGTGATTCAGATGTATACTCTGTATGCTGCGCTTGACCCGACGTAGATTCCGCGACCCTCTCCGAGGCTGCCAGTGACAGTGTTCAGGCATACACTCAAAAGACAGAAAAGATCATCTACTCGAGGTAGACCCAAGAGACCAGCTGGTTGAAGGTCTCTGCGGTCTAGTAGTGACATAACTTCGGGTGCGATTGATCCGAAAAGGGGTTTTGTAATATCTGATACTTCGAGACGTTCGAACAGCTTCCAGAACCCAGCGGAAAGGGCACGCTATTTGAAGTCTTTTAATCGAATATCAGAAAGTTCTTGTGCCATAGTGTATTTCCACACCCTCTCTAGCATAGACATAACCGTTGACTGAGAGAACTGTTGATCGGCTTTAATATCAGGCAGCGAGATACCAGGCATAAGGAAAGGGGTGATATCCTTAGGGGGCTCTTGTGTAATCTCCAGGAGTCGGGTTACCCGGTATTGTGTAGCACCATCAGTGACTTAGTTTTCTGGGTTGTTATTGTCCACAAGCTTTTCAGTATCTTGTGTAGCTCATCTCTGCACCTCTCTCCAGCATAGGGCCGACTGTCGAGTTGAAGAGTGGGTAAACTTAGGACCTCTATCCTAAATAACAAAAAGACTTAGGTAGACTTAGGTAAGGCCTTGCTAGCCTTTAGACTACTTTAGTTGTTTCTGACACCTAAGCTTGGGTTCTTGAAATTTTCTTGCTCCCTGAGGCCTGGGTCTTTTGTGATTGCTAGGAGCCGGGTTACCTATCGGATACTTGATGACACCATTCATTGACTTCGTCTTCTGGGTCGTCATTGTCTGCAAGCTCTTCGGTATATCTTCTGTAAAATCGATCACTTCGTATACATCAATCAAGTTATCGCCTTCCCCATCAGAGTCAGAATCGGAGGGATGATTGTGTGCTTTGGAAGGAGCCCAAGCTCTGTCTTTATATTGTAAAGACAGGGGGACATAGTGCTTGGGTGCCCTTGATTGAGTAGTAAATATATTTGGTAAATAGCTTTGCTGCTGGCTTTAGTCTATAGCAAAAAAAGAGCAAGGCTGCAGGATTCGAACTCGCGAGCAAAAACGAAGAGTGGCCGAGGGAGGAAGGTTTTTCAGGAGCGGATTTTAGATTCATAGGTTTATAGGTAGATACCACTCGACCACTCTTCGTGGAAGGGTAGAGGATGACTTTGGTATATGTCCTTTCCCCTAGGCATGCCCTTGAAGCAGCAGCAAAAAAGTGACGGTGACTGGTCCTCCAAAAACAAAGAGCCATTGTGCGGGTAGGAATGAATTTCAGGATTCCGAGTTGCAAAATGCTCGAAAAGTCTTGGGAGATATCCCATCGAAAAGTCCGTTAAGTGAGATAGCCCGCGTATTTAGTCGTGCCTGTCTATGGCGGCCGTCATTGGTGCGCAGTTGTGAGGGAAACCCAGTCACTCGTTTAGACATAAAAAGTTCGATCATCGTCCGCCTTCGGTATCATCACATAATCCTTAACCAAATTTCTTCGAGCCGCCCTTTTGAGTCGTCTTTTTATCCGTCTTCTTCTTTCCTTGTCCAAGCAATTCCAGATGTCCTGCGCGCTCACCGAGGAGCGCTTCAGTGCGCGCCGTCATGCCGCTTGTGAATTTCTTGTGCACCTTGTCGACGCTTGCTTTTGTCTTCTTGGGTTTATGCACCTTCGATGCTTGTCGCTTTGAGTGTGTGATCTTGGCTGGGGTTGCTCGACCGAGCTTTTTGACTGTGCCTTGAGCCATTTTGAGGGACGTTGAGATATAATCTGGTGATTGCGCAGGAAGAAGGTTGGCGCGAGATAGTCGAACACTGTTGGGTCTGGTGGGGAAAAATAAAAATCAAGGTGAGCGATTTTAGTGGGGCGCAATGCTCACCGAGGTCAGTATTCGGTCTGGAGTCGGAATATCGATTGACCCTCATCATAAAATAGGGATTAAATGTATTTTTCAATCTCGAACACTTATAGCTAGTATCATGAGTGCTATTAGATGACGGTGTCTATATGTGTCCAACTAAAATATTATGAATGGCTTCAATCAACAATCGACATACCAGTGTATGCTCGAGAATGGTATCCTGATGCTCCCTAACGAAGAGTGGCGGTTATTGCAAAGCGATATTTCATGAAAAGTGTCGACTCCTCAAAACTGATAGACTCTCGAGTCTATCATTACCAGCCATCGCCCCAACCATCATCGTCATCTGTTTCCTTCGGCTTCATATCGATCTTTTTCGCGGCAATTGGCTTCGTAGCCGATTTAGCCGCGGGCTTCTTAGCTGCACTTGATTTTGATAAACCCTTTGGCAAAGCCTTGGTGGGCTTTTTCTGTGATTGGGCAGCCAACCATCCAGCAAAGTCAGGCTCGCCATCATCAAAAGCGGCAGCAGATGCAGTCGTTGTCGTAGACTGTTTGGAGGATTGGCCGGGAGAGTCGAAACTGTCGAAGTCATCGTTCATATCTCCCCATGAGTCTCCAGCATCGTCACCATCGTCGGCAGGTAAAAATGAGTCGGCTACCACACTTGCGGTATGTGAAGAGTTTCGCGAGAGTGTTGCTGGAGGAGATTTGACTGCTTGGCGGTGAAGTGACGAGGCGGTGCTCGTTGCCGGCTTCTTTGGCTCGGAGCTGGGTGAGGGCGTGGGTCCAGGTGAAGCAGCACGGGAGTCTGATTCGGCGTGAATTTCGCCTGCAGCCGCAGAGATTTTGTTCGTAAAGGAAGAGATTGCCCAGCCTGCCCAGCCACCTGGGGTGTTTTCGTTTGGCTGTGGGGTGCTCATCCGTGGAGCTGAGCCATCATTCGTCTGAGGAGGAGGCAAAACGCTTTCAGGCATGGCAGAAGCTGCCTTTTTGATCTTTTGGAGGTATATATCCATAGTACGAGTAGCAGAGTCGCGAACAATCTTCTCCTTATCAATCAAGACAGGAGAGATAACGGGCAAGATCCTGCATGCGCTATCCTCATCAGTGAAGTACTCCGCAGTGGCACCCAAGGCCATTAAGGAAGCATTCCGGGCATGTACAAATGGATCCCTGAGTGATCTAGTGAAGGCTGCAATGAGAACCTTTGAGCGGGACGAAGTACCCAAGTGCTTTGCAATTTTTCCCAAGCAGATAGTTGTATTTGTTCGAATGCCCGGTTGCTCATCATTTGCGGTTCTTGCAAGTTGTTTGAGGAGATCACCATTGATCGTGCGGTCCGAGAGCTTAGTGATGATGACCAAAACAGACTTTAATGTTTGTTCTCGTACCACCGGTGTTACGTCAGTGAAGCCAGTGATCTGTATATGTTAGTCTTGCATTGAAGTAGAGTAACAGAGACTGTACCAATTGTGGAAAGATCTTGTCGTTGACGATCTTCTGTGATAGCTGATCAATCATCAAAGGAAGGCTATCCAATAAGCACACTCGAATAGCTCGATCGGGATTTCCGAATAGGCGAATGATGAAGGGTGTAATCTTTGAATCGAAGTCGTCCTTGGGAAGTTTAGATGCGATTTTGAGAACTACGGATACAGCCCTAGGGCCACCACCACCGAATTCAGCTGACTTCATCAGCTCCGGCATAACCTTTAGCTTGAAGAACTCTTCTGGAAAGTCATCGCTCAGTTCGTCCAGTCCACTGTTCAAATGATTAGCAATTTGGAGGTATAAAAGGAGCTGAAGATGTACCTAAGGAACTCTTCTCGTTCATCTGGCGTCTTGATGTCCAGATTATCGATACCCTCGGTCAGCTTAATGAGAGAACTGTCAAAAAAAGAGCCATTTCGGTTGCCTTGATCAAGGAAAGCTCCCACACTGATTCGGGCCTTCGGGTTCGCGTTACACAGACGCTTATAACTGGACTGCATTGAAGGGGGGATGCTCTTCGTTTGGCCAGCCTGATCAGCTCCATTGTAATCGCCGTTGAAAACTTCAAAGATCAATGTTCCGAGATTAAATGCGTCTACTGCTGTATGGGGATTCTTCTTGATAACATCCCATCCGCCTCGTGCCAACTCTGGAGGAGAGTATCGACCCGCATCAGGTACCAAGCTACCGTATGTCTATATATATGTTAGTCTGATTATACGGGTACCTGTATGGGGACCTCTTGCATATATTATTGACTCATCGTCCTTGAGGCTGCTGAGAACATCAAAGCCGCCGAGCTTCCACTCGCCACTCTCCGAAGTATATATCGATCCAACTTTGATGTTGCCGTGGATCGAGGAAGCGTCTTCGTTGATGAATTTTATGGTGCGCTGTAACATCATTAATATCGATTAAAAGACTAACATAGCAAGCCGTACCGCAACGCTATGCAAGCCCCATTTTATCGTCTCAGGGCTGAGACTCTTTCTTCGAACGTGCCATCGTAGGGGTACTACTCGTTCGGTCGCAATGTAGATATACGTCTCCGTCTGTCAAATGCTATTAGCGGAATGCTCTTAAACCGACCGGCAGTCTTGTAGATACCTCGACCGCATCTAGAAGTTTGATCACGCCTGGGTGCCGTAGTGTTCGGAGCTTCTTTAGGGCATTCTTGGCTAGGGGGAGTTGGGATCGGTTGGTGGTGATATCAAAGGAAAAGATGCTGCAGTTTGAACCATCTTCCTATTCAAAGATTGTCAGCAAGTCCACGTTGTACGCTCTGCGACGTTGAGCTTACCCTCCTGGTACCATTATACAGGGTCCAGATGGACTCATCGATATCAACCTTGTCGCCAAAATTGTATGGAAAGGGAGGGCCTTGCGCGATGGCCGAGGCCACGGCAGATTTGAGAAAGTTCATTCCAGTGCCGCAAAGTCTAGAACTTGTACTGGGACTTGAGCATTTAACACCCTACTTGTCGAGAATCGGCATATGTACAGGTCGGAAATATTGTTGTTTGTACTATGTAGACGAATGATATATTGGTTCCAGAGTCGCAACGTGGTTATTGGCGCTGTATGTCGGGGAGCTCAAGACCCCCGCGCTAGTGCCTGATAAATTTAACAGGGGATGGAGGGGTGTCAGGGTTACCTAATCCATCTGACCATGTAAGAGCCCAGAACATACTGAGCGCCAGCAACATACGAAAGTTCGGGCTTTGAATAGGTCATGGTGTATATATGTAACTCCGTGGGAGCTAACATCCAGGTAGGTTTGATTAATTCGCCACTGACTGGACTGTAGAGGGAACTAGCCCCTGTCATCGAACTCGAAAAGACTTGGACATGAATACAGATTAGGTACATATTTGGGCTGGAACAGTTATCTAAACCAAAGATGAGTGGTTTTGTTAAAAAATCTGAAGAACAATTAGTTGAGGCAAATCAACACGGTACTTGAGTACCTGGATAAATGAATTTTGAGGCGTCTTGTTTGCATCACAAAGAAGATGAAAGAGATATTGGGTTTGGACTTGATCTTTTATCTTTACAGTGCGTTTATGCTCACCAACTGCAGAGTTAGCAGTCTTGAATAAAACCTAGTCTTCACTGAGCTTCTATGAATACAAGCATAAATCGGTTTATTTATCACCTATGCCTTGAGTCAACAGGCAGGCGGAGCAGGATATCTCGCTGGACACGCTCATGGGTGTAAGTTGGCCTGGTTGGCTTGTGGGGCTCCACTGGTAGGCATGGCAGCCGGGGCGGAAGAATTAGTCTTCCAGCTCGGGGCAACTCACCTCGGGAACCTCCCCACCAGGGAGGTCTTCCCGGCGCCTCTGCATCCCATCCTTCATCGTCATCAATGGTTGGGCCAATAGCGAGCCAGTAGCAACAGGACCAGCCCGCAATGAAAGGCGCGAAACCAACGACCACAGTCATACGCCTCTCTGCCTCTGGCGGCTGGAGATCTCTTCCATTCTTTCCCTGATCCTAATCCTATTCTCTATTTGTCCTTTACTACCTGATGTCGGCTGGCTCGTCAACCCATACATAAGCTCAGAACGCACATAGTCACTCCTACTCTTTCAACACAGGACAGCCGTGGGGAACTGTCTCGGACGCGACCTAGCTCCCTTTGCTTCTTTCTACCTACAGTATAACACTGTCCTTTCGCCTCCGTCTACATAATACAAATCATCGACTGCACAGTATTTTCGATTAGCACAACAAGCATAACGCACGGATAGGGCATCAGAACTCTTCTCTGGGTGGTCTCAGACCTCGGTAAGATATTTCGATTTCGTTTTCTCTGTCTTACTTTATGCTCGTTAAATGATGCCTATGGTAAAAGGTCTGACTGAACGGAACCCTTCTGGTTGCGCCATCTTCTCTTCTGACTCTGTCAATAACATTGTTGCCTGAATCAACCCTGTCATTCCATACTGCACCTCAGCTGTAACTGCTCTCCTACATTCTAAGCTTGTTTGTAGAGCGCTGGGGCCGGTTGCCATAGAGTTTCTATTGTCGCACAATGGAGTCTTCTTCCTCGTCTTCGCCACGGATCTTGACCAAAGGCCGCGACAAACAGCAGATTCACTGAATCAACACACCTGTCAGAAAAGATTATGTGCCAACCGATGAGGTGCCTAGCTTGACGGCCATTCAAAACTGAAAAGATCTGATTCGACTTCTTATACAATACTTGCTCAGCATTGCTGATTTAAACGCATATTGCTAACATGACACCTAGGTAATCCTTCATCTACGCGCCTCATGACTCAATCCAGTCGTAAAAGCCTGCGTGTGGTGGATCAGTTCTGCGTTTTGGCCCATCAACGAGGTTCTGAATGACTGCCTCCACACATGTCGGCGGCACTTGTGCCGTTCTCACTTGTGAAAGGATCATTCTGCTTAGTTCCAGGCATTACTGTGATGAACACTCATCATTAGAGCCAACTGCGGCCAGCAGAGATTCCTCTGCTACGAATATGGCCAAGGGCTTCCGACCCGCTAACAGGAATTTTGTTGCTAAAAGAGGTCGAGGCAAATTCGTGTTTACACCTTCACGGCACTTTTCTAGGCATGATGCACCATCCCAAGGCGCCTCTAGTCCGGATACCAGCGCTCCCGTGACACAGTCTCCAAAAACAAATGAGCGAGATGCCCCTCCTTGGTCTTTGGTGCAAGACAAATCCATTGATACAAATGACAGAAACCTTCAATCCGGGCCAGAGAACGGAACCAGCCACGTTGCATCGACACCCGAGTTCGCGCAGATTAAGGCAGCCCAAGATTTAGCGAAAGCTGATAAGGGCTCTTCTACCAACCAGGTAAATTCGCATACTGTAACGAACATCAGGACGCCATTGGCTATGGACTTGCAAGCCGGGACAGAGGAGGTGATAAACCAGCCACTTGGCCTCGATCGTGCCACCAAAAAACTGAGTTCTTGTTCAGATATTGGATCGGCAACGCACCCCACGGAGAATCCCAAAATGGATACGCGTCAAAATGGGCAATTTGTCGATGCAACTGACAGTCAACACTTGGCTGGGACGGCGCAAGCGGCTTCTGAAGGGTCTCCTTCAAACCAAGGGTTTAAGAAGACCGAGCCTTCCCTAGGCCTTGACTCTCAGTCACCCGTTCCTTCCACCGCTCCTGTGAATCATATGCAGTTTACTCCTGAAGACGGTGTCAAATTTAGGTCTTCTCCTCGGACATCCAAGCCAAAGAAGGACAATACACAGAAGAGTTCGGAGCATCATTATCCAGAAACACGAACGAGTTCGAAGGCGAAGCTCTTATCAACTCCCACTAAGCGATCGGCTCCCCTGACAAGTAAAGAGCTCCCAGTCAGGAAACAGAACTTTCAAGGTTCCCTGCCTGAATTCAGCGCCGGAATCGATGATGAGGTGAATATGGCCGATGTTAGTGACATTGACGAGGAAGCAAAGCCGGCCAAACCTGTGCCGCTCTCCTCCCGTGCCAAAGCAGAAGCTCGCAAAAAGAGGCTTTTAGTCGAGTTCGATTCTGAGGCATTCGACTCCCTCATTTATCGACAGTCGAGTTTGCAACCACCCCCGCATGTTACTATATCTTCGCGTATTGTCAAGTACCGCCCAGTTTACGGCGACCAAAAGCCACTTTATCTTCCGGTGAATCCAGCAATCCATCACATGCATAAGCGATCCCGTGCATGGTATAGACAGAAGTGCGATGAAATCAGAGGGCGTCCAAAACGCAAAGAGTGGTTTGGCAAGGTTGTGGAGAGACAACGCTGGTTACAGGCTCTAGAGGTGAAGAAGCAACAGAAAATGAAACAAGCTCAGCAAGACGGGACTACTCCCCCCTACATACCACCAGAACCGCGGGGTGTCAAGCGTATTCTTGACTTCGGTGACTTGCCCGAGGAGGAACTGCCTGAGTACGTGCGGAGTAATCCTGCTTGGTTGAAAGCCTGCGCTTGGTTCAGAGAATGCGAGGATAAGGCGACTGTGCGTCAGCGACATGTCAACAACAAGACCAAAGAGACAGAGAGTTACTTTCAGAGCTTGAACGCTTGATGAATTCACACGATATATGATGACGGTGCATTGCAAACTAGTCAAGGAGACTGTCTTCTTGGGTTTTGACTAGTGCATCTTAGGCAAACGGCCATCTTCGTTCTTGTCAACGAAGGGCAAGTGATTCCAACAATCCAAAAGTATATATATGCCACAGGAGTTCATGGGTTCGAATTCGGAGTTACACAATTAGGAAATTTCCATTTCTTTAAGAAGCAATACAGGTATATTATCAATTGATGACAAAAAGCGTATATATGCATGTGGTTCATTTGTAAATCGTAGGAGTGGCTAGAGAACAGAAACAATTGGTATTGCTGGTATAAACAATCTATCATTCGGCATTTTTCCCCGACCAAAAACGCCCTTTTTCTCCAGCCCAACACATAACTCGGGCATTTTTGGGCATCGCAAGAGGAACCTATCCTGTGGCCCGAAAGTTGTATCTACTAATGCTCAGAAAGGGAGCGGCTCGTCTTATATGCCCTTAGACAGCAGGTTGAGAGCACTGCCAGCAAGAATGAAACCAGCCTGGTCCTTGGTAACCGCGTGTTTAGTGGGAATGAGGATCTCTTCACCGGAGGCCTTAGTGACATGAAGTTGAACATCGCCCTTGCCACCATTCTGGAGCATCTCATACAGACCGACAGTGGCAACCTCGTCGCCAGCGGCGATCTTATCATAGTCAGCCTCGTTCTCAAAGGTCAGAGGTACAACGCCCTGCTTCTTGAGGTTGGTCTCGTGAATACGGGCAAACGATTTTGTCAGAACAACACGGGCACCAAGGTAGCGAGGCTGCAGGGCAGCGTGTTCACGAGCTGAGCCCTCACCATAGTTGTGTTCAGCAACGACAAGCCACTCTTGACCACGTTCCTTCCAGAGTTGGCCAAGCTCAGGGATAGTGTGCTTAGAGCCGTCGAGGTCGTAGGCAGCGTTGACCTCACCGGTCTCCTTGTTGATGGCGGTGTTGAGGGTGTTAGTGCTAATGTTAGGCAGATGGCCCTTGTACTTGAGCCAGGGGCCGGCTGCGGAGATGGTATCTGTCGTACATTTGCCTGTGACCTTGACAAGAACACGGAGGCCAGAGAGATCAGACGAGGGGAAAGGGGCAAAGGGCTCAAGGAAGGCCAGACGCTCAGAAGTGGGAGAGATGGCGATCTTGGTGTTAGGGTCAGGGGCCTGGGATAGTACACCAAGCTCGGTGTTGCCAGACTCGAAAGGAGTCTGGGGACCCTCAAGACCATGAGGAGGAGAGAACATGAAGTCCTTGCCATCAGGTGTCTTGATGCTATCGGTCACAGGGTTGAAGGTAGTGGATCCGGCGAAGGCCATGGCGGTGACGATCTCGGGAGAGGCCAAAAAGTTCATGGTATCAGGATTACCATCATTTCGGCCACGGAAGTTTCGGTTATACGAGGTCAGGATAGCATTGCTTGTGCCCTTCTCAACGCCATCCTGTCGCTTCCACTGACCAATACAGGGACCACAGGCATTTGAGAGAACAATTCCGCCGGCCTCCTGGAATGTCTCAAGGGTACCATCGCGCTCAAGCGTGGCGCGGATCTGTTCACTTCCGGGAGTGATGTAGAAGTCGGCAGCAGGCTTTAGCCCAGCCTTCTTGGCATCCTTAAGCAAACTCTCGACACGGGTCATATCCTCGTAAGAGCTGTTGGTGCAGCTACCAATGAGACCTGCAGAAAGAACCTGGGGCCAGTCCTGTTCCTTCACAACTTCCTTGAACTTGGAGAGTGGTGTGGCCAGATCTGGTGTAAAAGGGCCATTAATGTGAGGTTCGAGAGTCGAAAGATCGATGGTGATGAGTTCGTCGTATTCAGCGCCCTCATCGGCCTTGAATTGCCATCGAGCATCAGGGTCGGAGCTGTTGCTGGCAAAGGTCTCCAGAGCTTCAATGTTCTTGTTGGCCTGAGATCGCCGGGTCGAGTCAAGGTACCTAGCCGAAGCCTTGGTGTAAGGAAAGATAGAGGTTGTGGCACCGACTTCGGCGCTGGATTAAGTCAGTATTTTCCCAGATACCCTGGTTTATAGAACAAACGTACCCCATGTTGCAGATAGTAGCCATGCCGGTTGCGCTCAGGCTTTCGACACCTTCACCAAAATACTCAATGATAGAGCCAGTGCCACCACGGACTGTGAGATGGCCAGCAAGCCGGAGAATGACGTCTTTGGGAGAAGCCCAGTTGCTCAGCTTGCCGACAAGTTGCACGCCCAAAATCTTGGGGGCCTTGAGTTCCCATGGAGCACCGACAAGGGCCTCAACAGCATCTGCACCACCGACGCCAATGGTTATTGTAGAGAGGCCGCCAGCATTGGGGCTGTGAGAGTCGGTACCAAGCATCATCAATCCAGGAAGAGCATAGTTCTCAAGAACGGTCTGGTGGATGATACCAGCGCCAGGAGGCCAAAAGTCCATTCCGTACTTGCGCGCTGCAGACTCAAGGAAGTCAAAAACCTCCTTGTTAGTCTGGATACCAGCAGACAAATCATCCTCAGCACCCTTGGAGCCAACAATCAAGTGGTCACAGTGAATGCTTGCAGGGATTGCAGGCTTGGCGAGGTTGCAGGACATGAACTGAAGAATAGCCATCTGAGCAGAAGCATCCTGCATGTTGACACGGTCGGGCTTGAGGCGCAGATTGGCCTTCCCGCGGATGTTTCGTCCATTGTCGGTGTTGTTCAGCAAGGAGTCCTCGGGGTTGTCGAGATGGCTGTAGAGGATCTTCTCGGCGAGGGTCAGGCGCTGCTTGCCGAGAACTCGACGGACATCGGTGTACTTGGTGTATAGCTTTTCGTAGGTAGGAGGAAGAGGCTTCGCGCTTGAGAAGTTTCTCCTTGTGTTATTAGATACAACGGTGGTTGATCGAATGGCATTAGGACCGGAACGTCGCAAGAGTTGCTATTGCCGCGTGGAAGGGTCAGCTTGTGCATCTATGTTTTCCTGCGGAGAGGCTCTCAATGGATATAATGGTGTAGCTTACCGTCATGGCACCGCCTGAGCGGCTGGCGACCTCCATTGAAACCATGTTGGACTATACACGGCAACAATGAAAGATGACTCTTTTGGTCCTCTCGTTACAGATGTTATTCCCTTAATTTGTGGTGGGGGCGAAGTCGGGGCGGAATTTTTTGGTCAATTGTAAATTGACAAGAGCCGATTGGCGTTAACAACCGATGTCCGGGGATGTGGGGGTCTCCGCCATCCGAACACCGGCGGAGATGGGTCCCATCCATATCATCTGTATAACCTAGGAATAGGACGGGTATGTGTTCAAAAAGTCGGGGTTATAAATCATTGTTTGGATCTAATGCCCATTCTGAGAACATAGGGGCATATAGTACATTCCGCTCATGTCTTGTATTACCAAAGGCGCCTTCCATTCGCCAATCCGGACTCATGTATCAAAGCATCAAAAAGTCATTCTTGTTCAAATACACGCCTTCTAGTAGGCAACGGCACCATCTGCGTCTTCCAGCCACAGTGTCGCCAGGTCCTTTGCCAATCCCAGTCGAAGTTTTCGAAGAACGTCTTCGCCCTTGCTTGTTGCAAGCCAACCCTTCCTCCAGTCCCATCCTCTGTTGACCTTTGTTCCCGCCGAGATCGACTTGTGCAGATGATTCACCAACACGGAGCTTCCGGTCATCATGAAGCTTCCGCCTAGAGAGGCTGTTGATTTGGCCATTAGATCTTGTGGTGTAGAGCCCTTCAGTCCCTGGGCAGATGCCAATACAAGATTGAAGAAATCGTCGCACGCCGAATAGACTCGATCACCAACTGTTTGTAAATCCTCGATGGCTTTGAGCAGAACATCGATCTGGGGGAGTGTGACGATGGCTGGGGATTGTTTAATAAAGACAGTGGCCTCTCCCAGCAGGGCCAGGAGGAAGTCCTCGCTGACTACTGCATCCCGCGTTTCGTCGTAAAGCCCACCACGGATGTTGTCGTCGGAACTGGAAATAACAGCAACTAATGCAGATGCCGCTTGCTTTTTCAATTTGAGGGCCTTTGTAGGCGAAATATTCTCCAAGTCCTCAGCATCGCGGAGCTCGTAAAACTTGCGTAGTGTGGCGTAACCGCTGAGCATTCGGCCAAGCAGTTGAGCTGCTTCAAGATCCTGCTTGGCCCGTTTCTCAAGGGTCTCAGTTCGCTTTCGTAATAGATCCTTGAGGTCCTGGTCTAGATCCTTCTCCGAGGGGTAGACTGTGGACTGGACAAGCGAGTAGCACATTAGTAGATTCAGCACCTCCCGGACCCTGTCTGAACGATGTGAGAGTGCATAGTACCAGAGAGCCTCGCCGTAGCGATGAGACTCCTTGGAAAGGATCTCTGCGAATGTCTGCTTCGGGTTAGTTTAGTTCAGCATTATAATCAAGATTACTAACCTCTGCGGTTTCCTCGGCGTAGTTAATCATGCCAAGGTCATTCAGTATTGTCCAAATCTTGTCCACGGTCCGTCCTGAGTTCTCATTCAACGTAGCAAGGAGATCTCGAAGGAGTTCGCCCACTGTCTCCTCTGATCTCTCGGGCGAATCCATCCGGCCCAACACCTGTATGGCCATTTCCCACCCATCACGCTCTGTTGACAGTTGCTCTATACCTGCCAGTTCCCTAGCATACAGGACAAGAGTTGTGTCTTTGATACCATCCAGTTCATCAGGTCCTGGCTGAGTCACGCCTAGTAGCGCAAGATCGTCCATATCCAGACTATCGGTAGGAAACAGGTTGGGTCCGGTAGGAGCGGGAAGCCATTCGCCTAGAGATGCGACTTCTGCCACAGTACATGCCAGTGGCAATGACCATATTCTCAGGAATCCCAGCACCGCGTTAACGTTTCCTTCAAAAGCGGAGGCTACGGCAACTTCGACGGGGTTTAAAACATTAGGGTTAAGATCTGACTGCACAACCATGTGAAAAGAAGTTGCCAGTCGATCGAAGTAGTCTTCGGAGCCAGCGAAGCGAGATGATGCCCGCAGTAACTGCGATT